TGACATAATTCTAAGGTGGTTAAATGATAGAGCCAAATGATTGGAGCCAGACTATGTCTATAATTTTCAAATGACATTTCATTTGTCTGAAATTATATCACAATGAAATAATTTGTATCAACTTTGGAAGATGAGTTTGAGATGGTATTAAAATTCAGGCTATGTAGCACTCACAAAAGCCATGTGCAGAGCACCCTAGTATCCTTAAGAGCAGCTGAAAGAGTTATAAGGAGAGGTCCACAGGACAGCTAATCAAGAAAGACATGCCACAGGTATAAAGACACCAAGGACAGAGAAAAGAAACATGTTTTATACATGGGCCCGAAATTGAAAGCCTCAGGTTGGGAAATGCAGCACCAATTTTTTGCAAATTAGCTGCTTTCCACATGGGCATCTCTATACAATGTGCTTTAGAGAGTAGCAGCAAGATTTTTGTTTTGTTTTCTTAAAGGATAATTAAGAGTTCCACCAAAAAAATGGAGATTAGTTACTAGCCTCTAAGTTCTATAGACTTTAAATTTAAATTTAAGCATTTAAATTCCTAATAATTACCTTTTCCTGTCTTTTTTCAAAAGAGGATTTAACTTCATCAGAATCTTTCTTAACACTTAAGATATTTGTATCTTCAGTATCCTCATCATCTGGCAAAGCAAAGGTCACTCTTTTCAAGCTTTCTTTATGTTGTTTACTGTCTTCACCTTCTTCAAGATCATTATCTTCATCCCTATAATATCAAAACACTTATGACAGGAAACACACTACTTTTCATTAGGAAAACAAAAAGGAATAAACTTTCTAGTAATAAAAGTTTTTCTTTCGTACACCCAATGCAATCGAATATTCAGAACTTCTAAAGTCATTCAGTTATTAAGGTACAACAAGGAATTATTTAGGTCAAATAGAACAAAAAGCATCCAACATACAGAAAATAAATTATTCATCAATCTACAATACAAACTTATTTCACAAAAATAACAGGGGATTTTTATTGGCACAAAAAACAAATCAAAGCTCCTTGTAATAAAGGTTTGATTGCTACTGCCAGTAATCTTTATCTTCATGAGATGACCTCTGATGTCTCGAAATTCAGAGACTTTCTTTGGGCTATCTTGAGACTATCTGAGCTTAGAGAATCTACTATTTGATCTTAGAGAATCTAACTTCTTAGGATAAATATATTTGACAACTATGAGTACACGTATATGATTGGGCCGCTCCAGTCTACAATGTAAAGGATAATTCAAAATACTCACGTTTCAGAAATGCTTTCTTCTTCTTCCTCAGCAATTTCTTCCTCTTCTTCCTCAGCAATTTCTTCCTCTTCTTCATTTGAACCCAGCTCATCATCATGAGCACTCGCTATGTCTTCATCACTTTCAACTGGATCAAAAAAATCTTTGTATTTCAGGTTTCTGGAACTTTTACCTGACTAAAATAAAAGGACTTTTAAAACTTTTAATTAAGGACAGAAAAATGCATTAAAATATGCATATGTGTGTATGTGTATTGTCTGTGTATATACACAGCTCTCTAACTTTAACATTATAAGCTAAAAATAGTTATTAGGGCAAATTGGAAACTAATAACACTACCATAAAACCATAAGAACTATCAGAACATACAACCTGAATCTAAGTATAGATTCATTTATAACTGAAATGATAGAGTACAATATTCCATATATCTAAATCTTCCAACTACAGTTATTCTCAAAATATCCCAGCCTAAATAAAGTATACAAATGCCTTCCTTTTATTATTATTTTTAGCGCTTGGTGAAAATATATGTTTGAAGGAAAATTCTGAATATCTCTAAAATGTGTGATTATGCTTCTTAGCTACAAAACAAGTATTTTGTAATAAGGAAATGATGGCTTTAGTTTAATTTTTCCAGTCAATTTTTTTCAACTGATCTAAATATTTCACTTATGCCCTAGTGAGTTCTGAAGTGTTTTAAACCCTTTCTCGAAAAACAGAACAAATCTAATTTGAGAAGGCAGAAAGTGCTTTCTTTCTCTCCTCTCCCCAAAACTTTACCTTAACGTTTTGACTTCCAAACAGTCCTCCCTCATCTTCATCAGAATTAACATCTTCAAAAAAGTCAATATCTTTCTCCTCCTCCTCCTCCTCTTTTTGTTCCTCTTCTTTTTCCATGTTTTCTAAAAAGGTCTCCATTTCAGACAGTTTGAAGAATTTATCATCTACTATGGACTTTTCTCTTGGTTTCCTAGGCACTTGGTTTTGCACCTTGCTCTGCTGTTCCAGTTTGCTGATATCAAAGTCAAGATCAGAATCCTCATCACTGAAAACGGGGCTTTCTCTTAGGTCAAATTTGCTAGAGTTTTTAGCTCTCTCATCCCCTTTAGGATCATCACCACTCAGGTCTGACACTTCGTCCTCCTCCAAATCTTGTTCTAGGTCCTCCTGGCCGTCAGCCTCCATGTCTGAGCCATCCTCTTCACACTCCTGGTCCTCATTCTCTGGGAGAAGACTGATGTCTTCATCTTTAATGGTTTCACTAATTGCATTCTGGAAGTACTGTAAAATTGGTTCATTTTGCAATTCCAGTTGTTGCCAAATCTGCTCATCGTCAAAATTGTCTATCACCAGTTTTTTTAAACGGCTTCCATGGATTCTGCCATTCTCTAGTATTTTATTAAAGTCATAAAGTACTTTTGTTAAAGAAGTGAAGTTTGATGCCAATTCATCTTGAATCCTATTAAGGAATCGGGAGGAGGAAGTTAAATGAGATTTATAATAACAGGTGGTAATTTCACAGCACTCTGAATTAAAAGAAAAAAAAGCCCAACTCTTGTGCAAAGTCAAATTTGAATGAAATGTCAATTTTAAGTATAGATTCTAGCCCCCAAGAGTGTATCATCTTGCTGATGAGCCACATTAATGTATAAAAAATGTCAACTAAATATCTGTGAATCTGCTGTATGGATTTTAGACATGAAAATCATTACAGATCTATTTGCCTAGAGATATGTAGTGAATCTTAGCCTTAAATTTTCAATTCTGCTATATTATATACCACTCTATTCATTCAGTCAGCCAATGGTCAACACTTGTTTTAGCAAGAGAGGTCAGAAAATTCATCCCTGAGGATATGCCATCTGAGATGAGACCTATACATAAGAAGACAGTCTTACAAAGATCTAGAAACATGTATTCTAGGCAGAAGAAATAGTAAGAACAAACTTCCTACGACAGACACGAGCTTGGTGAGTCTGAGGAACAGCAAGGCCAGCATGGATGCAGTGTGGTGAAGGAGGCAGGTAAGGTTAGAGAGGTAGGTGGGAACCAAATCATGCAGAGCTCAGAGGTAAGAGTTTGCCATTTTAAGTGTAAAGACAAGACATCAGGTTTTAAGCAGAGGAACAAAATGATATAATTTACACTTTGTAAAGATGGCCTATGGAGGAAAAGGAATGAAGTTAGGGTGATTAGGAGGCTCATGCAGCTGTCCAGGCAAAGGATGATGATGAACTGTTCTGGGCTAGAGCAGTGGATACCATGAGAGGTAGTTGAACTTGGAATACAGTTTTGAGACAGAACTGACAGGATTTGCTAAGGAATTAGATGTAAAACTGATAAAAAAGAAGACATCAAGAAAGTAGCTTAGTTACATGTCTGAACGACTAGAAAGATAGAGGTGCCATTTACTAAGATAGAGAAGGCAAGTGGTGGAGCATGGGGAAAGGATTTCAGGGAGGGCAGAGTACAGGGGAGTAAATGGAACCAACAGTTCATTTTGGACTTGTTAAATTTAAGATGCTGAGAGTATATGGCTGTAGTTGCTGTGAGCCTGGAGCTCAGAGGAGAGATCGACTTTGAAATATAAATCTGAGAGCCACAATTTCATAATTTTAAGTCCTTCCACAAAATACAAATAAAGATCTTGTGCCAGGAACAGAGATGCAAGTCCTAATTCTCAAGAAGCTCAGTCGTGAGGGTTGATAGACAAGCGACACGTTAAAACTTCCAATAAAGTATGATGATGGGTAAGCATCATCCTGGGTAAGTATCACCCACAGGGGGTTACGCGTGCTTTGGGAGCACATGGGAGAAAAGAGCAACCAACCTAGTGCGTGTGTGTGTGTGTAGAGGCTAGAGGGTGCCTAAGACTCAACAGAGGCCTCCGGGCGTTAATAACTGAGCTTAGATTGATTTCCATAGCACACGACTGGGAGACCCGCACTGTCCAGCTCTTATCAATTTTAAAAATTTTGATAGGCTAGAGGGGCGTAAACTACCTGATATTTGGGGAGAACAGATCTACGCTTCCCGTTACCTTCCCTCTACTCCAGGATTTGCTGGGGGCCCGCAGCCCGCGCCCACGGGAGACCTGGGCCGCACCCGGAGCCCGGACTCGGCGCACTTACGTGAGGAAGCACTCCGGCTGGCTGGTGGCTTTCCCGACCTCCTTCAGACACCGCTCCAGGGTCCGTCGACGCCAGACCCGCGGGGCCATGGCTGTCTGCAACTCCAGACACAACGCCGCATGCAAAGGAAAAGGGCTGCCCGGAAACCGCGCCACAAACACGCCCCTGGAGCAGCCTGGAGCCCGCAGTCGAAGGTTCCGCGGCGCACAGGTTCCGGACCCACCCCCAACAAGAGCGAATGGCAGCGCGAGAACTTTCAAGGGGCTTGCGCAGAGGGGCGGGGCGGGAAACCGAAAAGAGCCACACTGGTCAGCCCAAGCGCCTTTGAACTTTCTCCAAACTTTGTGTGTTGTATTCCCGAGGAGCCCACAGGGGGTAACGCGTCCTCGCTTTAAGTTTCTGCTCTAGATGCACTAGGTGGCTGCAACACGTTGTATTGTAAAAGAAGATCAGGCCTGCCCCCAGCACTCTTAGGAGCGTAGCAACACTCGCCACGCCCCCAAGCCTCATCTGTCCCCGCCCCTTGGCCTCTTGCCCCGCCCCCTAGCCAGGTCTCCCCGCCCCTAGGCCGAGCTCCTCACCCGGCTGACGCAGGTCAGGAATTAGTGGGGCGCTTCCCAAGATGGCGTGCGTGCTGAAGGCCGTGGCTGCGGGCGCCCTGGGCGTAGGTGAATACCCCGCAGCTTCGGGGTTCTCTGTGGGGTGGGACGGGAGGCCAGGGGCCAGAGGAGGCCGCGGGTGGCCACAGCACTGGAGGTGCATTTCGCGTTCGCTGTCAGCTCCTTTAGGCTAAGGGAATCTTCCAGAAGCGCCTCGGGTTAGCGCGGAGATTTCGTTATTGGATTTGAGTCTCACAGCCACCCTGAGAGGGGTGTCCAGTTGACGTTGCCACTTTTTATATGTGGCCCCAGGGAGGTGAGGGAACCTGTCCAAGGGGACAGCTAGGCTGGGACAGAAGTAATGAAGTAAATGGCACAGGGACAGTGAGTCTTATTTTACTGCGCAGCGTAAGAGACTAGGGGGAAACCAGCAAAAAGGGCAGGTCCTGTAAAAAGCACAAGCTGAACTCCAAGCCCGTGCAGTATCCTTCTGGGAAGGCCTGAAGGTCAGTCGTGTAAACAATACCAAAGGAGTGTTTTTTCCCACATGCCCTAATGTATTTATTATCCTGTATATTAACAGGAAAGATAAAAGCAGACGGATTTGGAAGGTTCCTAGAGTTCTCTCTAGCTCCTTAAAAAAAAAAAAAGGCTAGATAAAATCAGTGATGGCGGAAGCAAGTTTTCTGACTCTGCAGTCCACCCACTTTCTCTTCTTTCTGTCTTCTTTCTCTCTCGTCAGAGGGCAGCTATTTCCTTGAATCTGAAATTCCCTGTTAGGAAGAAAGTGCCAAGTGAGAATGTCTCAGAATGACTCCTGAACATGTGTGATAAATCCTTCAGCTTAGCACCTTCAGAAAGTGTTCAAGGGGAGGAACCTTTAATGTTAGATTTCTCTTCTGGAAGGTGCTCTGTTCCACCTGTTGAAACTTAGTTCTGTTCCTGCTTTGAAGTCTCCCCTCAAACTGAACCAGTTCTGTTGTTTGGTTTTTTTTAATTTTTATTTATTATTTATTTTTGTGAGGAAGATGGGCCCTGAGCTAAGATCCATGCTAATCCTCCTCTTTTTGCTGAGGAAGACCGGCTCTGAGCTAACATCTATTGCCAATCCTCCTCCTTTTTTTTTCCCCAAAGCCCGAGTAGATAGTTGTGTGTTATAGTTGCACATCCTTCTAGTTGCTGTATGTGGGACGCGGCCTCAGCATGCCTGGAGAAGCGGTGTGTCGGTGCGCCCCCCGGGATCCAAACCCCGGCCGCCAGTAATGGAGCGTGAGAACTTAACTGCTAAGCCAAGGGACTGCCCCAAACCAGTTCTGTTTTGATCACTATAGTCTTTCTAACCAATCACCGGATTTCTTATGCATCTGTTATTGCAAGTCACCAGGGCTGAGTGATGAGCCACATACAAAGAAGTGCGCCGTAAGACTTAGCTGTCTCAGCACTTAATTAGTTTAGAGAGGTGATATGTACACATGAAAAAGTACTGTAACAACAGGCTGAGCATAGCTTGTTAAAATGAGTCTATGCTTAACAGGTGATACTCAAGTTTGATAATAACATGCCCTCCCAGCCCCTCCTTCCTCTCCTTGGTAAAATACAAGTCAGCGTCTTAGCTCACATACCATTGCAATAGTCCTTTGCAAAAGAGCTCATAAAACAAAGAATCATCTCTTATCTCTTAGAAAGCCATCTTTTAGAAAGTAGATATTGCTTACAGAACATGCACTAAAGATTAAAAATTGAGAATCAAAAGAATGATAAAGAATTTCAGAGGAATGAGAAAATTAAACAATATTTTAACAGCATCAACTCTGATGTCAGACAGGCCTGGGCTTGAGACCCAGCTTTGCCGTTTGGTGTGACCTTGAAGAAAATTACTTAATCAGACTTGTTTTCCTTGTATCTTAATGGGAAAAGTAATATTATCTGATCCATAGAGTAATTGTGAGGATTAAATTGCTCACTGAACTGTTACTATTATCTATATTTTTTTGGCCATGATGACTAATAGGCAGAGCTGGGCTATCACATGATTCACTCCCACTTCAGAATTTGTGATTTCACAGTTTGCTTAGGCAAAATTACAGACTTAGTCAAGATTACATAGGAGTGTTGCGTAACTCTGATGATGAAATAAACTCATGGGTCTTTATTGGGACAGTGAGGTCAAGTCAGAAGGATGTTTTCCCATGGTACACCTTGGGATCGATCTGTCCTCCGCTGCTGATAAATCCCGGTAGTGTGGAGAATGCCCAGAGACTGTTTGGGGCCTATCTGCATTGGGGGTAATAACCAGCTTATAGGTTCTTGAAAGGCAGAATTATATAGTTTCCACTTCTATATGATATTAAAAAGAGATCCCAAGTTAAAACAACGGTCGTGAGCAGTGTAGGTAAGTTAGAGAGTTACTGTAAGCAACTAATTTTATTTTATTTTATTTTTTTTTTTAAAGATTTTATTTATTTATTTTCCCCCCAAAGCCCCAGTAGATAGTTATATGTCATAGCTGCACATCCTTCTAGTTGCTGTATGTGGGACGCGGCCTCAGCATGGCCGGAGAGGCGGTGCGTCGGTGGGCGCCCAGGATCCGAACCCGGGCCACCAGCAGCGGAGCGCGCGCACTTAACCGCTAAGCCACGGGGCTGGCCCCAGCAACTAATTTTAACTTGGAAGAGTTGTAAATCGGTATTGCTGTATCAAAAAGCAAAAAGAATACTATACTTATAATATCTTCCAGGAGCATTATTCCTCAAGGATGTCAGTAGTCACTAAGTACTGAAATACTACCAAAGATGTTCTAAAATCAGAGCCCACACAGTAAATTTTCCAGAGGGAAAGGAGAGTAGTCTCCTTGTCTTAAAGTGTAGTGAGTTGTGGATTGATGAAATGAAGCAGTTAATACAGAAACACTATGTATGCCAAAACGTTGGCCACATACAATCTTTAGTTATTGAATAACATTTTTAACATAAGTGCAGTACTGTGTATACGGTAGATGTATGGTCAACTTTCTCCTTTAAAAGCATAAAATGCATTAGAAGTCAACGATGCTTACATTTATAAGCAAGTTATTGCTATAAACTTTCTAAAAGTGCAGTAATGATAATTCTTGGAATTAATAATGTACTTTGTGCCAGGCACTTTACTAAACCTTTATATGTATTGTTTACTTTAGTCTCATGACAATTCTATGAGGTAGAGTGAGTGAGTCAGTCAGTCATTATCTTCCTGTATGAAAAACCAAGGCACAGAGAGTGTGAGTAACTAGGCCAAGCTACACAGCTAGTGGTAGGGTCAAGATTTGAACCAGGGCAGTCTAGCACCAGGGCCCACATTCTTAACCCTCAGGCACACTGCCTCTTATGTGATACTTACAAAACCTGAAGGCGAACATATAAATCATAATTTGAATATTAGAGAATAGGCATTTATGTATGTGTATTTTTAGAATTACTTTTATTCAATAGTTAGTGGGGGAAAAATTAAGGGAAAGGCGATATAACTTCCAACAAGTAATACGTTTATTGCAACAACTGAATACTGGTAAAGATAACATGTTTCTTTTGTAACTTATATACACATCTTGGCATAAATGGAAAGAGTGTATTCCAAAGGCTGGCCTTAGTGTATCCTGCTATTTTAGGTGCTTGAACCTTAAATGACCCCACTTTTTCTTTTATTGTGGTTAAATATACATAGGGTAAAATTTACCATTTTAACCATATTTAGTTGTACGGGTGAGTGGCATTAAGTACATTCATATTGTGTAGCTGTCACCACCATCTATCTCTAGACATTTTCATCATCTGAAACTGAACCTTTGTACCCATTCAACAATAATTCCCCCATTATCCCCTCCTCCTTGCCCCTGGTAACCTGCTATTCTACTTTCTCTGCATGAATTTTACTACTCTAGGTGCCTCATATAGGTGGAATTATACAATATGTGTCCTTTTCTGACTGGCTTGTTTCACGTAGCATAATGTTTTCAAGGTTCATTCATGTTGTACCATGTGTCAGAATTTCATTCCTTTTTAAAGTTGCGTAATATTCCATTGTATGTTTATACCACATTTTGTTTATCTTTTCATCTGTTGATGGACACTTGGGTTATTTCCACCTTTTGGCTACTTTGAATAGTATAGCTGTGAACATGGGTATGTAAATACCTCTTTGAATTCCTGCTTTAAATTCTTTTGCATATATACCCAGAAGTGGGATTGGTGTATCGTATGGTAATTTTATGTTATGACCCCGCTTTTAAGGAACAGAAAACTTAACAGAAAAACAGGAGAAGCTCAGAAAAATGAATCAGATTAAACACACACAATAAGTTCCAATTTGGCTTGCAAAGGATTGGCTTCATGAAAAAGTTAGGTTTGAAAATGGAAACTGAATCTGTTAAGAGACAAGGGTGGCCAAGTTACATGACTGTGAGGAGAGATTTACTTTTATTATGGAGTTGTGTGTAAGTGGGTAACAGAAACGTGGTCTGTTTATATGGTGCTATGAAATCCACTGGTGGAATGTTGAAAACGTATGGGCTTCTTAGCAAACTAACTTGAGGGCACTTCTAATGAATGGCTTACTAAGTATATTATGTCTCCTCAAACCAGATGTGCAAAAATTCAGACTTAAAAACTTATTTTTTCTAAAATTAGATTATGTGAAATTTGCAGAATGTTGCAAATATACAAAAAACAAATGTACGTTTCAAACAAGTAAACTTTATAGTACATAAATTATATTTCAATAAACCTGTTAAGAAAACCTTCTTACAAGTGATTAGTCACAGTTTTGTGACACTTTGTGTACAAATTTAACATATAATTTCTTTAAACAGTAAGTACCCTTAGTATTAGCGTATTTGAGTATAGACCCTTGCAGTTAAACCTTTACTTATTTGGAGACAATGTTTAGAAAGCCTGGTCTGAAATAAGTGCAACCTGAATGGAAAGAAATGCAATGTTATTTTTAAGTCCACTCACTAAAAAGTATTTAGCGAGAACCAATATTGAAGGAAAGATGGGAATTAGACTTAACATACAACACCAGATTTGGTAACATATCTATTTCTTATACATCAACTTCCTGATGTGTAAACGTCATTTGTTTCTTAAATCTCGAGATACTCATCTTTACAATCCTGTTTTTTTTTTAACACTCCTGTTTTTAAGTATATGATACATTTATTCACACATTTACACATTGTAGTTTATTCAGCAAAGTGACTCTTTTTAAAGTAGTCACAAATTATACATTATGGAGTTCAGAGTAATGCAGTTCTGCTGTACCTTTCTGAAATGGGAGCCAGAGAAACCTAAAACTAAAGAGTTGTGAATTCCTACCAGTTGGAGGACAACCTGAAATAAAGATGTCTTTTAAAAGTTGACAAAAATCAAAGGAGAAACTGTAATTTTTTAAAAGGTGAGTTCACAACAAACTTTTCAGGAACACGTTTTTTATTAAGGCTCTATATCGTTGTAACTCCTTTATTCCGTTTTTCCTACCCCAATTTGCTTTGCCTACAGGATTTCACATTTCACCCATAGACTTTTAATATTAGGATCATCCTTTTTTTTTTTTAAGTTAATTCACATAAAATTAACCATTTTATTTTATTTATTTATTTTTTTTTAAAGATTTTTTATTTATTCAGTTTTTCCCCCCAAAGCCCCAGTAGATAGTTGTATGTCATAGGTTCACATCCTTCTAGTTGCTGTATGTGGGACTCGGCCTCACGTTGGACGGAGAAGTGGTGCCTCGGGGCGCGCCCGGGATCCGAACCCGGGCCGCCAGCATCAGAGCGCGCGCACTTAACCGCTAAGCCACGGAGCCGGCCCTAAAATTAACCATTTTAAATAAAATGTACAATTAGCAGCATTTATTACATTCACCGTGTTGTGCAGCCATCACCTTTATTTAGTTCCAAGACATTTTCATCACCCCAAAAGGAAACCCCATACCAGTTAAGCAGTCACTCCCCATTCCCTCCTGCCTCCAGCCCTTGACAACCACTATTCTGCTTTTTGTCCATATAGATTTACCTCTTCTAGATATTTCATATAAATGGAGTCATATAATATATGACCTTTTATGTCTGGCTTCTATCACTTAGCATAATGTTTTTAAGGTTCATGCGTGTTGTAGCATGTATTGGTACTTCATATCCATTGTATGGATGATATTCCATTATACACATATGAATAATATTCCATTGTTTGGCTATTGGGAATAGTGCTGGTATGAACATTTGTGTACAAGTTTTTGTTTGAGTCCCTGTTTTCAATTATTTTGGGTATATAAGAGTGGAATTTCTGGGTCACACAGTAATTCTGTTTGAGGAACTGCCAAACTGTTCCGTGGTGGCTGCACCGTGTTACATTCTTGCCAGCAATGTAAAGGGTTCCAGTGTCTCCACATCCTCATCAACACTTTTTTTGTGGGTGTGAAGTGGTATCTCATTGTGGTTTTGATTTGCTTTTCCCTAACGGCTAATGATATTGAGGATCTCATCATGTACTTTTTGGCCATTTTTATATCCTTAACCTTTCATTTTAAAGAAGTTGAATTATTGAATTCGTACTAGTATCACTGTATTTATTTTTATCCGACTCCTAGAACATATGCTTCAGGGACCAAATAAAACCAATCAAATGATGTTTCCTTTCTCAAACTAATTCACATTTCTTGAGATGAGATAAACCTATATAGCTGTAAAGTCTTGATTTTTATATTATATAAAGATGTTATTATCTATTTTCTTAACATATAAAGAAGATTTTGTGTTCTATTAAAAGGAAAAAGAACCAGTTATTCTAGTAAACTGTTTTCTCTTCTCCCACTTCCAAATGATAAGGAAGTTACAGAGACAGACTACAGTGAAGCTTTCAATAACGTGCATTGCTTGGGCTTCCTTTTTAGTGTCAGAGTTTTTGAAATATCCCTAAAGCAAACTGGCATAATATATAAAACTTTACCTTCACTTGGACATCTAATTTGTTCCTTAGACATTTCTGTATGTTCCTTTGCTGGTAATAGGACATCTGCCAAAGAACCTGCAGCTGCCCCACCTCTTGTAGAGATGATGCTGGTAAGGAGAATTCAGAAATACCTAGACTCAGTATTTGACATACCCTTAAAATTTCACAGAGCAAACAACTTATTAATGTGCATATTACTCTAAAGCTCATTGATCCTATCGACAGTTTTTTTTACTACAAATACATTCTGTGTTGAACTTTCATTGCAAATTGCATACGTAGTTGAGATGCAAGGAAAGAAGGGAAGAGCAATTTGACCAATGATTTTGTTAGGGGTTAGCATTTTTAAATGCCATGCCCTCAAGATAGTTTCTTGGTCTCTGCAGATAACCCTGCATGCCAGTCAACTAGCAAACAATCATTGTATGTCATTAACAATGAGAATGGCTGAATTTATTGTGCACCTATTATGTATGACTGACACTGTATTATATTTTTTACACCAAATATCTGATCTTCACAGCAAACCAGCAAGGTAGATATTTAGTGGGTAGGGAGTACCAATATATATATTTTTTTTGGTGAGGGAAATTGGCCATGAGCTAATATCCGTTGCCAGTCTTCCTCTTTTTGCTGAGAAGATTGGCCCTGAGCTAACATCTGTGCCAATCTTCCTCTATTTTATACGTGGGACGCTGCCACAGCATGGCTTGATGAGCGGTGCATAGGTCTGCGCCCGGGATCCAAACCTGCAAACCCCAGGCCGCCGAAGCGGAGCATGCAGACTTAACCATTGTGCCATTGGGCTAGCCCCACTAATATTTTTTTTAAACTGAAATAAAATAGAGTAGAAAATATCAGAGCACATCACGTTTACTGAGGATTAGGTATTCTTTTTATGAAATTTACTTTCAGTTATACATTTATCTATGTGTGTACTGGGTTGGTATGCACTTGAATTTCACAGTAATACAGTGAGTCCATAGAACCAGGCTATGTCAGCCTATTAATAATGACAACCTTTGCGTATTTCAGTAATCAATAATAACAGACTGGAGCATAGCAGAAGACCATCTTAGGCTGAATTTTGCGTTCTCCTGAGCTATAATGTATCAGGTTTGTTGAGCAGAGTACCATGCACCACTTACCAATCCCAGGGGAGGACTCTGAACTCTTCTGCTCATTGCATCTTGGTATCGGAGTCACCAAGGAGAACACAGCACTGAATGGAACAATACTACATAGAGAAGAGAGAGCAAGGTCAGCTTCAGTAGTGGGTGTCTGTCCCCCATGGCCATTGGGTCTCTCCCAGTGGCCAGCATAGGACAGTTTGCCTATGCACACCCCTCTTGTACCACAATAGAAAGTACCCTACCCCTCCTGGTGGAGGACACATATAACAGTGGGGTTGGCCATATGACGTGCATGCTTTAAAGCAGAGACAAAGGAGCATTCATTGAGCCTGAAAGAGGGAAAGATAGTCCCACACAAGGTGATAAGCCCGGCACAGGTTGTGTGGGCTCTTTATCTCTTGGCCAGGCCCAAGGCCCATCTTTATGCGGCTGAGTGGGGGTCGAAAGATTGTGAGCATAAGACTATCTTTCCCAACAAAGTTTATGGTCTTAAACAAAATCAAATAGTGTCACTTGAATTTTCCTTGTTATCAAAAATTTTAGTAAAGGGAAATTCAATTTTATGTTAGCTGAAGCTCTGTGATACTAGGCACTGTTTAAAGTGTTTTTCATTAAGAGCTAACAGCCTGTTGTTTAAAATATGTGTTCTTGGGGCCGCCCCGTGGCTTAGCGGTTAAGTGCACACGCTCCGCTGCTGGCGGCCCGGGTTCGGATCCTGGGCGCGCACTGATGCACCGCCTGTCAGGCCATGCTGTGGCGGTGTCCCATATAAACTGGAGGAAGATGGGTACAGATGTTAGCCCGGGGCCAGTCTTCCTCAGCAAAAAAGAGGAGGATTGGCAGGGATGTTAGCTCAGGGCTGATCTTCCTCACAAAAAAATAAATAAATAAGATATGTGTTCTTCAGTTTGCTATTTCACGCTTTTTTATTAAGTGATGTAGTTTTAGATTATATTTAGACCTTGTACATGCGTATAATTTTCATTCCAGGGAGAATCTGGCTCTTAACGTGTAGTGTTTTGGGGGCTGGGAAACAGTAACACATGAGGAGAACACATTGCAGACCTCTTGAAAGAGATTTCTTCACATTCAGAAGGAGTTCTGCTTCTAATCCTTCAAAATTATAAAAAGAAACAATAAAAAAAAAATCTGGTCTCAGGAAATTCTCATAATTTTAAGTACCCTCTTGATCTTTGCTTGTTTCTCCCCCAACAATCAGATATTTTCCTTAGCTGGTAGTCATTAAAATAAACTACACATTAAAAGGTACTGTAGGGTCATGGCTTTAATGAACTTATTATAAAATATAAGACAAAAAATTGGTTATAGATAGGGAAGAAAATGGCTTGTTCTCATCAGTAAATGTACGTTGTTTCATTATCATATTCAAACTTACCCTTTGTGAAATGCAGAGAATAACAAGTAATTCTTAATGATATGCAGCTCTCCTTTAAGTGTTATCAGTAAATATAAATTATTATGAAAAATGTCATTCTTTGTTCTGAATCTAAAAAGCTCAGAATTAGCTTTTTAATTTCAGATGGTTATTTCAGAACAGAGTAAGTAATTTTTACGTGTTTCCATTTATCTCCCCTGATTTAATTTCAGTAATAAAAAGAATAGATATGTAGTTTTTACATGTATAACTTATTTCGTTTTTTAAAAAATTAATTTTAGAAGTGCATTAATTCTCAAAAGAAGGATATCAATGGCTGTTCAATTTTTCAGGGCGTTTTTCCAGACTTCAAATTCCGTTTCCAACAGTAAGAACTTTTTCCACGTCACAGTCCTCGCATCACGTGGCAGGTCCTGTATGGAACCTGGGTCGCCTCAATCATGTAGCGATAGCAGTGCCAGACTTGGAAAAAGCCAAAGCATTTTATAAGAATGTTCTGGGGGCCCAGGTAAGTGAGGCGGTCCCTCTTCCTGAGCATGGAGTATCTGTTGTTTTTGTCAACCTGGGAAATACCAAGATGGAACTGCTTCATCCATTGGGAAGTGACAGTCCAGTTGCAGGTTTTCTGCAGAAAAACAAGGCTGGAGGAATGCATCACATCTGCATTGAGGTATTTTCATTATTTTAATGCTTGGTGTTTTAAATTTCTCTTTTCTAAAATGTCTTATACTTTTTAAGACTACATATTATCACTGTCTTCAGAAACTTAATTATTGAGTTCTTTAAGGGGAATGGTAATCTTGGTCCTACTCAAAGATGGATCCATAGATATATTCTCTTTCCCTCTAGAAAACTGCAAATAATAATAATATATTTTATTGAAGTCTGGATTCAACAGCCACTATGAAGGCCACAGAAGTTGACCAGAACAGATTTGAGTCTTTGCTATAGTATTTATTGATCATATATGACCTCCCATGTGATAGGAATACAACTCCTTTCACTATCACAAGGCAATAAGAAGAAGCAAGTGAAAAGACTTGATAAAGTAAGAATTTCCATATACATGCTAAGTATTCTTATAATTATTTTCTATCCTTAAAATTCTAATAATTTGTTTCTTATTACAAAAACAATACATTTTCAATTATTGGCTGTGATTTTTAAGATCTTCTCAATTGCATCTGCTAACAGTTCCCCAAAAAACATATAATGTTAGACAAGAACATTCTCATTAGAGAGCCTTTATCTGTAGATGTTCTTGTTCAGATAACTGCCTTTTGGAACATCAGCAGTACCAATTAGGCTTCAATTTAAATTATTTTGATAGGGCAATTCTTTTGATAGAAAGAATGACATAATTAATAGTTAGGCCTCATTCCTAATCCAGAAGAGAAAGGGGTTGATTCTAGAGGGAATTCAAGGATTTATTCAGTTCATATTTCAAACATATTTGAGAACCTACAATATATACTCTACTGAGTACTTGGATTCAGCAGTGAATAAGACATGGACCATGTCCACGGGGAGGAGGGGCAGCTATTTAAACAGGCAATTACAGTGTACTGTGATAAGCAGATTTAATATATATGTCTTCTCAGTAGCACAAATGAGGGAAAGATTGATTGCTTCAGGCAGGCCAAGGAGGTTGGAAAGCACCAGAGGGCATGAGTTATAATGAATGTGAGGGAATTTCCCAGGAGCAAGAGGAGGAAGGTATTCCAGGCAAAGGGAATAGCATGTGGAAAGGCAGAGAGTTATCATAACAACTAACATTCAGTCCTCTGCCAGTATACGAAGTACTTGACCTGCATTTTTTCCTTTAATTCTCATAGCTATCCTATGAGAGCACTATTAACCCCATTTGACGGGTGAGGAAACTGAGACTTGGAATAGTAACTTGCCCATAGTCACATCAGTAGTAAGTGGCAAGGGGTTTAAACCCAGATTTGTTCTGATTCCAGAGTCTGCACTGTTAGCCATGGTGCCAGATTGCCTTCATTGCATTAGCTAAGTTTAAAATATGGGGTGGGGAAGCCATAAGATGTTAGACCAGGGAGCTAAGCAAGGCCTAATATTTAACCTTTATCCCTTTTTAGGAGATTAATTATGGCTGCAAGTCTTTATTTCAGTGGACTTGAGGGTTTATCTAAGACCCCCCCGCCAGGATGAGAAGCAGGATCATCAGCCTTTGACTCCAGTCTTCCCTCTCCCACACTACACTGTCTGTGTTCTACATCAGAGAGCCATGCCTTCAAAGTAAGCCGCTCTGTCAGTTAGAAGTTCAGTTAAGTAAAGAGAAGTGGAAGTTCAGTAATGTAATAGCAAATTCAAAAGTAGAGACTAAAAGGGGGCAGTGAAAATGTATATCAGTATAAAATTGAAGGTAGGTAATGGGAGAAGGCGTGAAAAGTGGTTAGTTAGTTACTATGTTAGTATGACACCCCCCATCATTATTCTCTGTTCTCTGTAAAAACTAGAGTGGCTTAACCAGATAGATTTTATTTTTCTGTTCTCAGTCCAGAAGTGAGCTGTCTCAGGCTGATGGGGCAACTCTGCCATCCATAACACATGACTTACTTGGTTGCTCCAGGCATCACCATTTACCAGCCAGAGGGGAGGGAAAATGAGAGAAAACAGGGCTAGTACCTTTAAGGAGGTGATCTAGAAATTACACATATCACTCCTGTTTGTGTCCCATTGGCCCGAGCTTAGTACATGGTACACTTGGCTGCAGGTGGTCTGTAGTTGGGCAGTTGTGTGTTCTTCTAAAACTTGGAGGTTGCTATAATTAAAAGGAAGAAAGGGAGAATGGGTACTGAAGGCCACCAATCTATGCCCTGCTTGGTAATTTTTAAGAAGTGGTATTGCCAAGATAGTGTGCCACTTTTTCTGAATGAAGATATGCTGTAAGATGGAAATATTTGAGAATTAATGTCACCTGCTGTGCAGTCTGTGAGATGAAGTTGTCACCAGATGCAGGGGCATGGTTCCCCGACTTACCAGGTAGAGCAGAATTGCTCACCTGTCCTTGAACAGGAAATACATTTTTGTTGAATGAAGCTGCAGAGATTTCAGGGATAATTATTTTACCACAGGGAGAGGAAATTATGTAACCTAGTCTATTCTGGCTACTACAACTTGGGTCTGAAATTGTCTTCCACTGAAAGTACAAAAAGCGATAGAACTGGTCAGAAAATATTTCTTTGGTCATTCATTACTGTTGCTATGTAATCCATTATCCCAAAACTTCAGGGTGTTAACAACTATTTTATTTTGCTCAGTATTTTGTGGGTTGGGAGTTTGGGGGAGGGCTCTGCTGGGCAGTTCTTGCTTGGGATCTTGCATGTAGTTGCAGTCACATATTGGCTGGAGCTGCAGTTGTGAAGAAGGCTCACCTGGGCTGGGTGCCCCATGTGCCTCACTCCCATGCTGGTCTTGATGCTGGCTGGCAGCTAGGAGCTCAGCTAGGCCTTCCAGCAGGAGCAGTTGTGCATAATCTCTTCAGCTTTACAAGCTGAGGGTAGTTCTAAGGAGAGTTGGACTTCCTCCTGGACAGCTGGCTTACTGACTTCTTACTAGCCAGAATGAGTGTCCCAGGAGAGCCAGGCAAAACTGCATGGCCATTTCTGTCCTAGCCTCAGAAGTCCCCCAGCAGCACTTCTGCTGCTGTCTGTTGGTCATAAGCCAGTCTTCAAGATGCGAGGGGAGAGGACGTAGATCCTGGATGCCTCTTGATGGGAGAAGTAGCAAAGAATCTGTGGACACGTTTTAGAAGTGCTGTAGCCATCAATATATTAATGTATTCTAAGCAAAAGGAAATGTATGAAACTTCTAAAAGCTCTAGAATGATTTTATTTTCAAATAGCCAGAAGTGGGAACCAGCAGCATTTGCTTATGCAAGAGGAGGCAACCTGTCTAGCCCTTGTGAATATAAGGAGACTCAGGAGAGGGGTAATTGATAAGGTAGAAGGTGATAAATATCGTATACACACGAACCAGTTACTTCAGCTTTTCCTAACTGTTTTGGGAATAGGCAACATTCACAAATGTATCCCCCAAAAATACTCACAATCTTCTCTAGCTTTATGGTTCATAGCCATTTATTTTTTAATGCCCTTCCTTCTTTTGAAATGTTAAATCCACTCATCGGAGAAACGACTTTCTTCTCTGTAATTATCATCAAGATACTTCATTTTCTTCTTCACTGGGACCTCAAATAAAACCTCTGGTTTAACAGTGGGTCTGTTATGGGCATGCGCCATAGCTTTTAGTTGACTCAACAAGACTTTTAGACAAAATGTCCTTTTCTTCATACATGGATTAGTATCACACCATTAATCAACATTTTTCTGTCAAAATTGTTTGGATATCTATTTTCTCTTGTGAGGTTTGCCCAAGTTTCTTACACCTGTGTGTTTGCCTTTCACTAGAGGAAGTTTAGAAGTCATCTTGTTCAGTCTTCTCTTGCTTGCATATGGACTGAGTAGCCTGCTTTTTTCTGGCACAGCTTGTATTGATGCTACCAATGTGTGCTTCCTGCCTTCTGCAGGCCTCTCCCTGAAGAAATGGTTCTAGTATTGAATAGAACTAGCTATGCTTTCACTAAATAACTTGGCCAGACAGCAACGTATGTCACATTGAAAACCTCATGGGCCACTGAAAATATTTACTTATTCAACAAATTTATATTAAGTTTGTACAAATATTTAAATACTTCCATGCTGGTTGGTAAGTAGCTGCTGCTCTAAACCTCCTGAGTAACATCCCCCCTCCACAAGGACCCTTCCCTGGGACCCCTCAGACATCCTCACACACAATTACAAGTCAGCAACTAAAGGGTTAATACTTGGCACAGCAGGGGTCCCCCAGGACTCTGCTCCTGGATAAGGTCCCTTCTATTCTGCTTGGTTGGTGCATTTTGTCTATGTTCTATTCCTGGCTGTTAAGTATTTTCAGTGGCACTTGGACCTTCACTGCATTAAGTGCTGGGGATATATAGGTAAACAAAATACCAAGTCTCTGTCCTCCTGGAGTTGCCTCCTTGCTTTATTTATTCACCCATGCCCTGTATTTTCCACAGAGGATTAGAAGTGACTGACCAAAATGCAGCCTGTAAGATACAAAAGGATAAACATAAGTAACAGTTTATTTATTTCCTCTTTAGAAGAAAGAGGAAATGTAAGTCAAAATAAAACTAAGGGTAAAAGTAGTATACCTACTAGTTCTGCCAAATATTGCTTTCTAGTTGTCAAAACAAAAGGGAAAATAAACGGTATTAAAAGTAATGATGCCCCTTCCCCCTTCCTTCCCTTCTTGAACAATTCAATCCTGAAGACTTTAGGTAGGACAGAGCAAAATAGTTGTCCACATTGGTGGGGAGAGCCAGAGCGGGATGAGGAGGGCATCCACGAGCAGGGGCTGCCTGCCTCGGGAAAGCCAGAGACCAAGTAGGGTGCCCACGCAGGGTGTCAGAGTCTGGAGTAGGGTGAGGTGGGAGGGTTGTACCCGCAAAGGGGCAGCCAGGCTTGGGGTGTCAGTGAGGAGGACATCAGCATGGGAGGCCAGCCCAATACAGGGAGTTGGATGCCAGGCATGGTGAGGGGGGCATCCATATGTGTACGTCTGTGGGGTGGGCAGCATGGAGTATAAGAGCCTGAACAGGGTGAG